GGCGTCAGGGAGATGGCCTCTCATCATTTGATTGGGCATTTGACAGGTTTGATACTTTCTGGGAACGTGTTATGGTCTTTACGTCTGATGAATTCAATGAGGGCCAGCTCTGTTATGCAAAGTAATTCGTGTGAGGCAAATAACCAATCCATCATTAAAAGATGCAAGACTTAGAATCGCAGTTCAAATCCTGTGTTGGAAGCGAGCTGTTCTTAACTTGTCTATTAACTGTACCCGTATTTCCTATAAGAGCTATTAAAAAGCAGGGGAGGAATGGATTGCGATTAGTTTCGTAGCGTTGGCTTACATCGAGTGATTCTTTTCCAAGGTTACAGTGGACTTGAAAGGTAATATTATTTTGAAAGAGAAAATGTGCTGTGCGTAGCTTTCTCCTCGTGCTGTTATTTATTTTTATTTTATTTCTGCTTAGAATAAATAACAAGCACCAGCCAAAGGTTCTGAACAGCCTGCTAATGACTGAAAATGAAAATACAGTACGATTTGCTCCCTCTTTCCACCGAGGAGCAGCAAGGTAGCGAGCATTAATATCCCTGTGTTTTGGCCTGTACCAAATCCATTTCCCCCTCTTCAAATCGAGGTGCAAGAAGTGCACTTAGTCTCTCGCAGTTTTACTGTTCACCTGCATTTCACTTTTTGAGGAGGTGATAATGACTCCTGGTATAGGAAAATCTCCTGTACTGTGCCTCCTGAGATTTAATATAGGCTGCACAGTAAAAAGTGGCCACCTTCACAATGGTCAGAAAAAATATTGCTCCCTCAGATTATTTAAAATAGTGTAATATATTTTTTTTAGGTTGCTGGATATCTCTTTGAAAAAAAAAAAAAGGTACAACAAAACTGAAGAGATGACTACTGACTGACTCTCCTCAAAGCAATTCTGCGTATGATTGTGTGCGTTAGAGCAAGTAGCTCAACCGAGTGTACTGGGTGAGAAAAGTAACCTGTATGCAGGATCAGGCCCACAAGCGTGCCTGGTACCAGATGTTGCTCTTCACAATCACTGTACATCCTGTATTTTCAGGATTAGCAAAAAAAACCAAATGAAAA